ATGTATTCGGCTTGCTCAAGGTTTTTCTTATTTTTTTCTCAGTGGTTACGGTCATACTGGAAGGCCTACAAATCGATGTGACTGAATCGACAAGTAATGCTACTGTTCTTGTTAAAGTAACTGGTATCAGAGAAAGGAACATACATTTAAAGTGAGTCGAAATGTTTTGATGATTAATACCGGAACAGCTGATCGAGCAGCTAGCTCAAATTTTGAACCCCAAGAGCATTCATATTAAAATTCACCCCATTGAATTTTAACATTGAATCAGTAACAAATAAATTGCAACTATACTATTCTAACTGGTCACGTGACTGATATTAAAAGTTTTACATTTTACATATATTTCGCACTTACATACAACTCACGAATGAAATATGCTACCCAGCAGTGCGATAAATGCATATCGTGTCAAATTTTACTGCGAAAGAATGATAACCGTTTTAAATTAAAATGCAAGAATTGCAGAAGATTGAATAACCTGAAAAAAAAGAAACGAATTTCGTCGTTTCTAGCGAAGGCCCTACAGTGCTCGTACTGTGAATCGTTGCTATATAACCTGTAACTGGCACCCACCGTTTGAGCCTCAAAGAGTGGAGGTTCAATCTGAGCTTCCCGTGAGTGTCAATGCTGTTTTAGAATAGCTGTACCGTGATTAGTCGTATTGTAAGTGAGCCTTTACTTTTTAGCTGGAGGGGGGCGGAGGAACTGATGTCTAATTCCATGCTAAAACTTGGAACCCCTGGGAGAAAAGTTGATAAAATATTAGACCCCTATTTTTGCTGAAAAATCCACACGGTGTCGTTTCCGTAGCATTTTGATTCATGTTTTCACACAAAAACGGATAAAAACGAGGTCAATTGACGAAAGTCATGGAAATTTTTTCCTATGGACTGTGTCAACAGAACGTCAAACGAATTTTACTTCTTTGTTAAAGATGATGAGATAATTGATAGATTCTAGACCTTTTTACCATTCTTGATATTTCCAAATTCTATAAAGTTATATTGGTGATTTTTTCACTGATTATTTTTATGACCCCCTTCATTTATACCAAAACTTTAAAAAGACCCACCCCTTTGAAGCATGTAAAAATTGGCTGATCCACTCCCAAATTCCTCCGGTCCACCCCCTCCCCCCCTCCCCCTCAGCTAAAAAATGAATGCTCCCTATAAGCTATAACACTAAACCTCCAGCTAGACCAGCTACTCAAAAAAATATTGACACTCGACGGAAACTCAGATCGGACCTCCACTCTTTGAATGTGAGTAAACATTTAGAATACAGGCGTAAGTCCTACGCCAGTATCCTAAAAGCTCACTCACACTCACACTCATACTCAAAGAGTGGAGGTTAAATCTGAGCTTCGCTTGAGTGTTATAATTAATGCTGTTTTTGAATAGCTGGAGGGTTAGTGTCGTACCTTACTATGTAACTACTTACCGTCCAGCTATTTAAAACTGTAAAATAAGCATTATTCATTTATTTTTGCGTAAAGCGTATTCACGTATGACGTTACGGCCATGGTTGATATGAACGACTACGAAACGAGATCTGAGTTAGTGGTATTTAAACCAAACAACTTTCAAGTACCATTCTCTGTCCGTATCTTTGACGATAACCTTGTTGAGCATACTGAACAGTTTGGAGTACGTGTTACGTCAAGTGATCCTGAAGTGAATGTTGTAAATGGAGACATTCTTGTTTCCATAAGGGACAATGACAGTGAGTACTACGTATACGTTCTAGAAACATACGTAAAATCTAATACTACGATTATACACTACACCGCGGAGCGGTTTGAAAACGGCGCAAGAAAAATCACATTTAGCCCTCGCTTCACACTACGCTGGAGCGAAATTATATTAAAAATTTTTTTCTCATACCATTACTTACAGTATATAAAAAAAGTCGCAAACAATTTTTTTTAATTACACCTTTTGGGACCCCCCTTCTGCAAATTGTGTGGCCCACAAACCGAAATGGAACGAAATGAACGCTTAAGCGCAGAATTCAGGTATTTCTCCTGTGTTCTTTCTGTGGTAAACGACTCGTTTTAAGAATAATAGATATTTAGCTAATGGTCATCATTATTTGTCTTGTAAGGTATAGTGTTATTTGGTTTCTTTTGTTATGCACTAGCTGTTTCTTTTGTTGTCGAGCGAAGTTCAAACGGCTAGAGGTGCTTATCTCGATAAATACATCATTAAAGTATCCATGCAATGAGATATATCTAGATTAATATCGCCTGGAACATCTGTTCTTGGCAAGCAGGCACTTTCTGTCCTCGGGATAATATTAGTATTATTATAGTTCTTGGGGAAAATAACGATAGTTCTTGGGGAAAATAACGACGTTTATAACGAAAATAACTACAGTTTAATTAAGGCACTTCCACCTTTTCGACTAGATAACGCCGCACACCCCGAATCAAGAAAGAAATAATAGCTACGTTTCAAAAAATTCTATAAAGAATTATATTCACCTTATTGTTATAATTTGAATGTATGAGTCCTATACTAAACCGATCGGTACATGTAAACACAATTGAATCGAATTTTTGGGAAGATATTTAATTTTGAAAAGTTTTTGGTATCGTTCAACATATGAATATGATTATTTGCTGATTAATTTAACGCAACGCGTAAAGCAGTAAAACCCCTTTCCTTTGTAGACAGAGACTAGTCAACTGACAGGTCTAATTTCTATAAGTCGTTTTAACTTTCAATTAGGATTTTCATCCATCATTTATGCAATTTTAATATGTTGTAGGCCTATGATTAAAATGCATTCTAAACTCCCAGTGGTAATGAAGTTTGGGTGTTTACCTGACAAAAGAGTGATTTATAAAGGTTAATCTTTTTGGAGACACACTGTACAGTCGCAGCTACGGCTCTTGGAATTTATATATGACTAAACAGTGATACGAACCTTCGAGGTGTTTAACTCTTACTTGATGCCTTTTTAAAATTTTCAGAACATGACGCTTTAAGTAAATTCTAACATTACTGTTATTGAAGGATTAGAATTTCAATAAAGTCTTAAATTAATAGCTTACTACAATGAAAGATTAACATACATTATTAACCCATAATATGTTTCCGCCATCAGCGAACCAAAATTTTACGAAATCATGTACCTCTCATTGCAAATATCCAACAATGTAATAATTCCTCTTTCAGAAATTACCTTATCCATCGACAGATCTGTTTATCGTGTGAATGAGGATGATGAGTTTGTCTCAGTAAAAGTGGTTGTGACTGGAAAGACAGCAGTCGCTATCACAGGAAGGTATATCATTATTGCATTTCTGGTTACACTGTACAGCTTACTAACAAATATTTACCATGACTAAAAACGCAGTATACGAAAAAGTAGTAATATTCAATGCAGGCGTAGACATTATCCACGCTTTAGCCTTGTGATGCAATTCCCTCTTTTCATTACAAACAAACAAAAATAATTAATTTTCTGAAAGACGTATAGTATTTTCACATAAAAATAAGTAACCAGAAATTATTTGACAAAGCTTAAGAAGTTATCACTTCAAGTCTCGACCAACTATTTCGATTATAAATAGAGATAACTTATACAATCTCTGTTTTGATTGGCAGCTGACCTACAAATAATTGTTGATATCGCTTATAGTTATGACATCAAACCTGCATGCACATAATGATTTTGTACGTGCATATATAACACCAACTCTGCACAGAACTAGAAAATACATGCATGCATGCAGAAACCCCTCGCTTGCTGACAAAACTATTGTATTTTCCGAACATGAATTAAGTATTTAAATAAGTTGTCATGGTAACATGACAATTTAAGTATATTTTTCCAAAATGAAAAACCTCCTAAAAATATCACTTTTAATAAAAAATTATCAATTTTTCAAACATATATATGTTAGGTATGTTATTATACCTATATAATATAAGCTTCAATTTAAGGTAAAATTCAATCACAAACGCTACGCAAAATGTTTTAATTAAACTGATGTATACTTTATAAAACTAAATAGGCCGTTTGCTGCGTCCTGATATCGTTCACTTTCATTGAGCATGTCTTAGAACTGAAATATTTTACGGGAACTAACACTTTCAAGTACGCTGAGCTCGAATCCGAAAACTTCCCGCGCCGTAAACCCGCAGTTTTCTAACAAAATGCTATTTCATCTTCGCTAATTTCACAACAAATGTTTTCATTGTTCAACGACACGGATCGATGACGCCACATGATTATATCACTCAAAACGACCAATTTCTATTAACCAGTCTTCCTTTCAACAAAAGACCGGTTTTGCCCAAATTATTTTGAGTTATGTAATCTTATGCGTGTTGCACGTAAACAACATATCTTGTCTACAACCTTAATTGGAAAGGTACAGATAACGCCTTCTAAAATCCTCATTTCTAGCGATATATCTGCAAAATCACAAGGACGTTAATGCTAAGTCTTTTGGCTATATCACTGGCCCGAAAAATAACTAATTTAACGCGATCAAGGTATTTAAAACAAAAGTATTGCGAAGCCAACGTGTTGGCAAAGACAACGCTAAAGTGAAATACTGTAGATTGGTTGCTAGTAGAAAACTTACGACAGGATGAATCTATAATAACCTTAAACGAGGGAAATAAATGTTCACATCCAAGACAAAGATCAGTGCCAAGGTATAAAATCTGCTCTGTAAACGTACGACGAAGTGGAGAAATCTGTGCATAAGCTGTTTATTTGGTGATATCAACGTATATGGCAGCCTTCTTTCCAATGATATTCGCTTATCGCACAGAATAACACCAACTATATAATAGTTCAAATGCAATGATAAGTTACCTCTAGAATTACATCTCAGAAACTGTGTTGGAAATGGAGATGCTGACCCATTCCATAAGATTACGGTTTTACATCGTTGTATAATTCATATCTCTATAAATCACAAGGTATAATCATATCTCTATAAATCATCGTTGTATAATTTATATCTCTATAAATCACAAGGACGTCAATGTTAAGTTGTTGGGCTATATCTCTGAGATGAGAAATAATTGTAAGAAATTATTTCTCATCTCAGAGATATAGCCCAACAACTTAACATTGACGTCCTTGTGATTTATAGAGATAGAGCCAGAACTGAAGATTTTACAAAGCGATATCGGTACCTTCCCAAAGATGTAGACAACATATGTTGTTTACGTCGAACATGCTTAAAATTGCATAACTCAAAATAATTCGACCAAAACTGGTCTTTTTTTCAATGACAATGTAGAGGCTGGTTCATAGGAATTAGTCATTTTGAGTTATTCAATCGTGTGTCTTCACCCATCCGTGTCGTTGAACAGTGAAAAAAATTGTTGTGAATCAGCGAAGATAAAATAGCAGTTTATGAGAAAACTGCGGTTCTACGGTGCTGGAAGTTTTCGGATTTGAACTCAGCGTGTTCGAAAGTGTTAGTTCCCATAAACATATTTCAGTTCCAAGACATGCTTAATGAAAATCGTTTTCTAGGCACTTTTCGAGGTCACAGCAAACGGCCTAAAACTGCCTTTGTCGATAAACTTTGGGTTTGAAACGATAAACTTACCTTCATTAACGTCGGCGTATTTACTCCCTTCTTTTCGCAATTCTTTCTCCTTTATTTTATCAAAAAGCTTTTGAAATTCACAAAATCTTGCAAAAACGAAATATATTTGCAAGAAATCATCAAATCAAGAAATGTTTGCTACTTCGCTGTCGTCATGCAGTCGTTATAATGCAACTTCTTAACTGGACCAATCAGTGTTCGCTATTCGTGAGAGTCCGCAATATTTTTGAGATCAGTGAGGATGACCACTCACGTTGGTCACCCACGCCCGCAATCATTGATGAACTTCAGACTTCGCTAATGCTTTTGTTTTCCTGGGTGTAAGTAGCCGGGAGGAATTAGTACCTCACACGGTTCGGGGAAAACTGAAACGCCAGCAAAAGCCAGCTTGTTTATCCAAGAATCACATTCAGCAATGGTAGGATTTACCTCGGTATAATTGAAAGCACTTTACGAAAACTGAACGAGCTGTAAAAACACAGTACTAGAAAATACATGCATGCAGAAACCCTCGCCTTGCTGACAAAACCGTTGTATTTTCCGAACAGGAAGTATCTAGAGTAGTTGTCTTGGTAACACGATAAATTTTTAAGAATATTCTTACAAATGAAAATCGCCTAAAAATATCACTTTTAATTACAAAATTAACAATTTCCCAACATATATATGTTAGGTATGTAATTATACGTAATACAAGCTCCAATTTAAGGTAAGATTCAGCCACAAACAATTCAGAAAACATTTTAAAGTGTTCTTTATAAAACTAAAATGCCTTTAACTATTAAATGGCTTTATCGATAAACGTTGAGTTTGCAATAAAATGATTTCAAATTCTCGCTTGCAAATAACATTGGTCTTTGCTTTATTTTTTATTTAAAAAATTCAATATAATAAAAAGGGAATCAATATTAAAGTTACACTGAAATTTATATATGCTCTCTTGTTTAGTTGTTTCATATACGCAAAGGCCATCGAGTTTTAAAGCCATTATAAAATCAATATTTAAAACAAACTTACCTTCGTTAACGTCGGCACCTTTCTTTTAGCTGATTCTTTCGCCCTTTCTTTCTTTCTTGAAATTTACAAAATCTTGCAGAAATACGAGCAAAAATGAAATATATTTGCAAGAAATTTATCAATCACCAAATCATGGATAATAAAATAAATGGATTGGAAACTTCTGACGTCATTGACTGCATCCTTGTTGAAAAACGTGACGTCACGCGTATTGGGAATGTTACCAAAGTTCTCGGCATTTTTGTTGTTTTGCTATATTTTCCACTTTAAAAGGGTGATCTTGAAGCGTAAACTGGTCTAATTGTTTTAAAAACATGCCTAAGCCACGACAAAGCATTCAAGGTAAATGTTTTTCGTCTTTGTTTTGTATTTTTTTACATTTGTAGCTACGAAATTGGCGTCACAAATTTTTGCGAAATTTGCGATGTATTTTTCACTGTTTAGTGCTTGAAATATTTGCTAAAATTGACTGGGAATACTTAGAGTTTTCATCGTAGAATAGCGTGGTTACATTTATTTGCTCTTTGACTAAAATGTTTAGCTGTATTATTGCTAAACATGCCGTTTTTGAGAATTTGGTTTTCAACTAGGTTGAGGCACCCAGCCACGCCATCAATCACAGTAAAAAACATTAGGTCACGTCAGCTAGTTTCATATCCATTTATTTTATTATCCATGACCAAATCAAGAAATGTTTGCTATTTCGCTGTCGTCATGCAGTCGTTATAATGCAAACTTTAAATTGGACCAATCAGTGTCCGTTATTCATGACAATCCGCCATATTTTTGAGATCAGTGAGGATGACCACCCATCGTTGGTGACCGACGCTCGCGCTCATTGATGAACTTTAGACTTCGCTAATGCTTTCGTTTCCCCGGGTGTAAATAGCCGGGGGAATTAGTACCCTCGCACGGCGCTTCGCGCCGCCAGCTCGGGGATTATTTTGTGCGAAAGGAAAAAATAAGTAAGCACCAAGAGAATAGAAGAGGCCCTTGCAGAAAGCTTTAAAACTTTCTTTGTAAAACAATTTTATCTTTTTCTTATATAGGATGAATAAAATAGCTTCTGAATTCGGATTTCGCGGTGATATCGAAAATTATGAAGTGCCAGCTCAGTCTACAGCTTCGGCAAATAGCACAACCTAGACTTTAATAGCTCAACCTCATCCAACAATTATCAAATATATGACACATGAAAAAAAAGAACAGAAAATATTTCTGTGTTTATGGGCGGCTCTTCGACAGAAAGTATTTGCAGTGGACAAAAATGAAGCAGAGTTGTCAGTAAAATACTTTCCCATAATTGTGGCTCTAAATACTCTAAAAGTTGCTTTTAAATTTTGTGTCTTTATAGTGTACTACGTACTGCAGATGAGACGGCTGAAAATCCACACGACTACACGTCCGTATCTCAAAATCTTGAAATTATGCCAGGAGAGGATAGCAAAAATGTGACAATCGCAATTAAAGACGACCAATTAACAGAAGAACCTGAAAACATTATCGTAGAGTTAACGGCAACAAACACCAACCAAATTTCTATTGCAAGAAGCTCTGCTATTGTGCAAATCCACGACGACGATGGTAAAGTCTGACTTTTTGTAGTTAATATTATTTTAGTCGATTTACTCGATTCTGATTGGTTAATTGAAAACTATTTTACAGATGAATTATTAATCGCACTAGTGTGCTGATGAAAGTTTAATTGGCAGGAATACGAGAGTAATTTCTGACATTGGAAATTATTTATAATCTCAAAATTGACAAAAATATATGGCTGTGTCCACTTGAGTATATTAATATTAATGTCTCTTGTCGTTGGTTTCTGGTGTAAAATTCACTACAAAGTGATAGTAATAGGAAATTACATTAACCATGTTCTCGAAGCCTTGATGAAAAATCATGATCACACTTTTGTATTACCGCGTGTGCGCATTATAAATATTTTGCCAAACACGCATGGGATTTCTCATTAACACTTCTCGAACCGTACAATTTCCAATACATGAAGTGAATTGTTGTGAGTGTTTTTGGTAGTAAATATTATTATCAAAATAGCAGTACAGGCATTTAAATAGTAGCCGCTCGTAGTTGGAACTGGAAAAACGAACGGGAAGAGCGCGCTTAAAGCCAAGCTTTCGTAACTAAAACTGCTAAAACTTCCCCAAGTTTTTCTGGTAAAGTATTTCCAAATTAACCACACAAACCAATATCACGATCCTGAAGGGGTAAAATTAGACACAAAAACACATGACAGACACAAAAATGGGAATGGGAAAACGATACACCATAATTAGAAAGACAGTAGTAGTTAAACATTTTTAAATAATTGGCTTAAATAGTTCAGCAAGACAGTGTTCTGCTTTTCGTCGACTTGACGAGGTCATTTTCCTGTTATATTGCAAGTACGTGGTCTGTGTATTATTGCATGTATCTGGACTATGTCTTTTAAGAGAGCACATTTTCCCTTTAATTTCACATATTTGGCTTATGGGATTTGTTAACAAAAATGGTGACAAGCGATTTAGAAAAATATGGGCTGGAAAATAGGATCTATAAATCTCCCTTCATTACCCTCTAATATAAGCCTGCATAGCAAATAACATAATTAGATATTCTATTTTCAATTTCATATGCGCTCAATCCAGATTCATCCGATCCTTCGTCACAAGAGAAGAGCATTGGCATCATCATCGGAGTCTCGGTGGCAGCGGTAATTGTCTTGGTAACGGTAATTTTAATTGTTGCTCGCTTTATTTGTCGAAGAAAAGAAGGCCCCGATAACACGAGGAATATTGGTGACATTCAAAATGCTGCTTATGAAGGTGACAAACAACCAAAAAGACCAAAAATGCCAAAGAAACCGCATTCTGAACACGTTTATGATGAACCAACTGTATACGCACAGCTTGACAGCTCGACGAGAGTTCCGATTGATGCAAATTATCAAAGTTTAAATAAAGAAGGTTGCGGGCAACTTAAAATAAATCAAAATGAAAGTGTCCAGCCGTATGCTTCATTGAGCAATGAAAGATACAAAGTTCCTGGCAAACCTGCTCAAGGAATATATATGACACCCTAGCAATGCATGATCGTAAGAATCAGTCCTGCACCATTGAAAGTCTGCACAATATGTTAACTATTAAGCATCTTCACTTCTACCCGAGCAAGCATTTTAAGCAGAATCATAAAGGCTGGTTTACAATAACAAAATTCGTGTGATCAGAACCAGGGCCTTTTTTGAGGATTTTCCCGTGGGGGGGGGGGGGCATTTTTTGAAATGGGACCTTTCTGTGATATAATATTATTAAAGGGGGATAGCAATGGATTGAAATTTGAATCCCGGAAATGTCATTTCCTGCATTCTGAGCATCCAAATTTGCTCCAAAATTTATGCTAACTATACTTGTATTTGAAATAAATAAAGGAAAAAATACACAAAAAGTAATTGAAAAATATAAGCATAATTTATCATTACTTATTAGAGGAGGACAGCAACGGTCACG